TTACCATTTCAAACGTCTATAAGAAAAGCACGGGATACAGAGATCCTGGGCAGAGAATGGGGTTAATGATATCATGGCATTTAACTCCAGGGGATGCAGCATGCGCAGGCTAATGGCGACGGGTCTGTGCAGAGGCGATCCGTACAGTGCAGAGGCACCGGTTTCTAAGGTGCTGCTTTGTCCGTACCGTCGCGCCTCAGATGGGCAAAAAATTTAGTCGTTAGATAGATCTTGGCAAAGCTGTGTAATTCGCACGTAGGGGTCTAGTCAGACTCTCTCTCTCTCTCTGTCTCTCTTTAAATTACTGGAAGATGACAAGATCAGATCAAAAGGGCGAAGAAAAACAAAAGTATGGGACAATGACGTTCTGGCAAACCCTGTTTTCATCATGGGATTTTCATTTGGATTTCTTCTGGCACAAACAATTTGACCTGTCCTTTCTTTTTCAAACTTTTCGGAATGCGCAAATTTTTTTTATGTAGAATCGTTCATTAGGTATTCTTTTTATAATTTCTGTTTGGAATTTGCTCGTGAAATCTCGAAGGGAAGCGAGTATGTGGGCATTATTGGAATTTCGATAGTTTAGCGAGGGCTAAGATGGAAGTAGGAAAAAAAAATTCCGTTAGCTCTTGAAGCGGCATTCCGAAAATGCTCGGCATTCCGATATTGGGCGGGACTGGCATTGGGCTAAAGGACTTTGGAAATGTTTACTTTAGCTCAAAGACCTTCAAGAATCGCGTCGCCAAACATCTCGACTATGGTGTAAAGGCCTTTAGAGACCTAAAATCCTTTCGCAAATGATGAATAAAACACATCCCAAGAGAATCACGGTTCATGATAGCTTAGTAATGAGCTAATTGTGGAGGATATTCTCGAGGAAAAATCCACTGAAAAACTATAAACTATGCCCACCATGATATAAGATGATTTTTTAATCAAAATAATGTCATTTTTATTTCATTATCTCCTACTTTGATATCATGTAAGATTTTGTGGGACTACTGCAAGCTTAAGCTGATAGATGAAGGCGTAATTTAATATTTAATTATTCTAATAGACGCATGTCAACACTATTTGCCTTTTTAGCATCCATGTAGGAAGATTTTTAATGATTTTCATTGACAGAATTTTGACGGAGGGTAGATATGTTACACAGGTACAAGTTTGGGATTTGTGGTGTCATAGAAAAGATTTTATGATAAATATATCATAGTCGGCATAATTTAGAGAATTTTTTTCCCTTTGGCATTTCCTTGGTAATGTCCTAACAAATATTCTCCCCCACTTAGGGGTGAACGGTTTCCAATCCAGTCCGGTCCAACCCAAGAACCGAGAATTGAACCGGTTCCCAGTTACTAGGATCAGGGACCGGACCGGCTAGTCTTAGGACTGTGGATTGGACCGGATCATCAGTCCGGTCCGGTTCCAATTGGACCAATCACTTTTTTTTTGCTAAATCAATTGGACCAATCACTTATTAGTAAAAGGTAAGAGGGAATTGAGGAAATTAGATTAGGCTTTCTATTTTTTTCAAAAATTTTAATAAATAAATAAATATATATATGAACAAATTAGGAAAATATGTATATTTATCGGTCCGGTTCGATCTGGTTCCCACCCTAAAACTGGGAATCGGACCGCCCGGAAACTAGTTCCACTTTTAGGAATCGGGAACCGGACCGATATTCCCGAGAATCGGACGAAATCGTTTGATCCGATCCGGTTCGATTTGATCACAATTTGAGCGGTTTATCTTGCCCACCCCCACCCCCATACTTAGGAATCAAAAAGCTTAAAAAGGAGCAAAGAAAAGTGAGTGCGTCTACTAAAAAGTCGGGTCAACATGCATCATGGCTTCAAACACGGTGACCCACGTAACGGATCTTGAGCAAATTATCTTGGGGAGGCCTAAATATTATTTTTAGCAAATGCATGATGAAACTCATTCTCTTTTAATCACTGACATGCAATCATGAATATTTTGTTTTTTGTTCTCATTAGAAAGATGTTGTATTTCACAAAATTAATAGGAAACATACTCAGCTTTTTTCAATAGATTTGCGGCTAATTTAATAATCTTTTAAATAGTGCAATTTTTTTTTGTTTTTTCGTATATTACTAGCTCTTGATTTTTTAGGACGATTAGCACATCAAAATTCTTACCTTAAGAATCTCTCATAATAAGCCAGTTTATGTGCGTAAGAATTCAATGCATATTTGATATTGCCAAAATATAAATAGAATTAATAATGAAGTTTTCGCTTGTTCAATTTATATCAAAATAAAATTATTTCTTGATTTTGAAATAATTACTCATCTTTTAAGAAATTCCTAATAATACTCGTTTAAACTTGGAACGACAAGAAATTTGAAAATTTTGATGGGGCCACGGTTTAGAAATGAACATGAACTTTTCCAATGACAGAAGGTGACCTTAGGACATTATTATCAGTAGAAAATGTTGAACACTTGATTGAATAACGGGTAAAAATAATAAGGAAAATATTGTATTTATCCCCAAAAAATACATATTTCAGTTTTCACTTCGATTCTTGCATCCTCGGCACAGTTGAGGGGTTTCATATTTTTTTTTGTCCATGACCAACTTGCTTTCATGATACTAGAAATGGAGAATTTCTTGTAATCTTTTTCATGGTTGTATTCAATCTCGTTCAATCACCTTTTTGCTACCAATGAAGCAACGTAGCGAAATCACCAAAATCCAATACTTTGATTGCGATAATTATCAAAGGACTCAAATTAATTCAGCACTTAAAAGGGGGAATCAAATAGACGTGACTCTTGCTTTGTGGAAAGGGAAAATATTTTTCCTTTAAAAATGAGTCAACGGAAAACGCTTTCCTAGTCAATAAAAAATCTATATTTAAATTTAGGAAAATGATTTTCTCTTTGAAAAATCGGAAATCATTTTCCAAAATATAAATAGATATTAGCTTTTGGACTAGGAACTTTGCGCTTGGACACGAATCCCAATGCTCGTTTCCAGGACCTGGGCAACGGAGCTGGGTCTAGAGGCCAGGGCCAGGTCCGTTGGGGTACATTAAGGCAAAGGTTGAGTCCAAATAGGCTAGACCCAGAAGTCGGTGCCCAAGCTTGGATCCATAGAATTTGGGGGCACCAGGGCCCATGCCTGTGCCTAGGACCCAACACCATTGCCCGACTCTCCGGTGCCCTGGCCCAAGTCCACAAAGGTTGAGCCAAGACCCTAGTGCTTATGCTCGGATCCTTAGTGTTCAGGCTTGGGTCTATTGAGGCTGAGCCCAAATCCATAGAGGCTAGGCTCAGGGCCCCAGTGCCTGTGCCCCGAGTCCCTAACCCCTGGGCCTTGGTCCATGGAGCCTGAACTCGAGTCCAAAAAGGCTTGCCCTAAGACCCAAAAGTTCGTGCTCGGATCCCCGGCAACTAGGCTTCCTAGTGCTTGTGGCTGGGTTCCTAGTGCCTGGGCTCAAGATCTTGATGCTTGTGCCTAAGCCTAGAACCATCGAGGCTGGGCACGAGACCTCGACACCCGTGCCCCAGTCCTGGACCATGGCACTAGGTTCCCGCGTTTAGCCTTGGTGGACCCAGCTCGGCCTCAATGGACTGAAGGCCTAGGTGACTAGGGGCACATGTATCGGGGCCCTCGGGTCTAGACTCTACGGACTCGGGGCGAGGTGCTAGGGAGCGGGGCATGGGTAGTGGATTCTCATGCCTAGCTTCTGCAGACTCGGGACTGATGCGCATGCTAATGCCTGGGACCTAAATGCATGTTCCCTGTTCCAGATGCCTGGGTCAAGGTCTATTGTGGTCGGACCTGAGACCTTGGTGCTCTTGTTTCTTGGTTACCCGTGCATGAGTTACTAGTGTCCGAGTAGTGTATGTCTATTTAGAAAAATCAAATCAAATTTTTTTTCTCCAAATGATGGAAAAGTATTTTCTAGTTCTTTTTCAGATTTCAGACAAGCACAAAAAAATATTGTTATAATCTTGGAGAATGACATCTTGGAAAACATTTAAAAAAAATATAACATTTTTCGCGAAACAAACGGAATCTTATAATTCAATTGTATAGAACTCAGTTTTTTATATTTTCAGCACTTAATTTTCAGTTTTTACCAAATAGTCCCTTACTTGTGACATATACAACCGGCCTTTTGAAAATCTAACATTTCCTCAATCCATTTAAGTATTCAGAAGGCATTCAGCACAACTTTCTGGCAGCAGTACAAATTTAAAAACATGCTCCATATTTTATGAGGAGTTAACATACACTTTGTAGCTGTAGCATCCCCACAGAAATATGCGAGTGTCTTCGGAAATTTATTCAGCAACCGAATAATAGAAATTTTTTTTTAAGTTTTCAATCAATCGCTTTTCGTATCGAATGTATCAAGACGCTCGTTTAACACGCCAAAAGAACAACGACTTTGTTAAATACCCGTATAAGAACAGCTTGCGATTCCCGAATATACTATCTCGCTCGTGTTATGCATAATCAGACAAGGCTACGAGGGTTCTTATTAACATCCTCTCTCTCTTTCGTCCTACTTTTTCTTTCTCTGCTTTTAAGGAGGAAAAACTAGCACCTCGTGCACGATGGAAGCCACAGTTCACAAATCACAGCCCACCCTTTTTTCTGCCTGCTGTCGTCCTCTTCGTCGGGCCAAGATTATAATAAAGACAGAGACCCCCTCTGGGGTCTCTCACGTTAAAGCCCGATTTTAATAAGGGGGAAACAGTACGAAAGGGGCAACGGTCACATCCAGTTTGGACTCCTCACGGGAGTTGGGAGTCGTGTTCCTTCAGGGGCAATTCGGGGACAAGCGCAGGAGAAACGCTTAACGGTTCTTTTTTCCCCATCCTCTGCAAAATCCGAAAGAGGCCGATGCTGGTGTGACTCACTCTCACACGCTCGCAAAATTTTAAGACTTCTTGTGAGAAAAAGGGTGGGGTTTAAAGTGGGCGGCAAGTGCTTGGTGTTTTTTCTCAGACCTTTCACACACACTCGCTCCCCCATTGCTTGCGTTCTTTCCTCTCTCTTTTGCTCTCGAGTCTTCACCTTTCGATGCTCTCGCTTTTAGCTTTTTCGTTTCTCTGCTAAGCTTCTCTTTTGGGTTATCATCGGTCGCTCTCTTGGGTCCATTCTCTCTCTAGAGACGGACATCGAATTCTGCCTCAAGTTCCGATTTTTACATCAGTGAAGACCAAGATTTTTGTGCCCATTTGTGTCTGTGGTTCGTTTTGGGGATACCCATTTGGACGTAGAGGCATTAGAGGAGTTGTTTCAGAGTGTGAGAACTGGAAGCAATGGCGGCTCCGAAAGCAGAAGAAATAAGCCACCCTCCAATGGACCAACTTCAGGGCTTGGAGTATTGCATAGATTCCAACCCTTCTTGGGGTATTGGTCAATCCTCTCCTTCTTTCTGTTTTTTCTTTTAGGATCTTGTTGCTATTATAATCTGTGATTAATTCGTGTTGTGACCCCATTTCCACTGCTCGATGATCTTTCGCACTTGTTGTTGAACTTGATGAGTATAAATTTTTGCACTTGCAACCAGTGGAAGCGATAGCTTTGGGCTTTCAGCACTACATTTTGGCCTTGGGAACAGCAGTGATGATCCCTTCATTTTTGGTTCCTTTAATGGGAGGCACTGATGTGAGATTCTATCTCTGTTTTTTCTTCTCTACTGATTGATCTCATTTACTCGTATTTTTTTTGTAATCATTCCTCTCCATCTTTAGTGAAGCTACGTTCATTGATTTCTCTCTCGTTAGTGAATCTTTTCATTTATCTGTTGAGTGGTGATTGTGGGAATAGATCATCGAGCAGAGCATCTTTCTTGCTAATGTTGCAATAACTGCAGAGAGATTTACAGTAAATAATCACGGTTATGATGAGTTCAGTCAGTATATTTTCACAAATTTCTTAGTCATTTCATTTTGCAAGAAGCTTATAAGGATACGTCAGCATCATAACTTAAGTCATTCAAAGAATTTGGAGATTTTTCAGTAGCTACCCCGAAACTGTGACAGCAGTCAGCACCACTCTTGTCTTATTTCGGAGAATTTGTTGACAAGCGCCGTGATCTCACTTGCGAAGCTATAATCAGTGTGATTTCGAATTATAAGTGAGTTTTTGCACGTTTGCATATCCTGTATGTGCGAATTTATCATACTGCTGTTTTCAATGATTTTGAACATAGAAACTTACTTGCAACTGCTTTTAGGGCACTCGTTCAAATGGCCTAAAAACATGAGCCATCAATCTGACCAAAGTGCTCTCTTTCCTTTGTCATTATGATAGGTTAATATTTTCAGTGATTGTTCCTGGAGAATAAGTAAAAATTGAACTTGTCTTGAAAATCTACTGGGGACCTTTGCTATCCCTATATTGCTGAAATTTTTTGGTTTCTATGTTGGCCAGGGTGACAAAGTGAGAGTAGTGCAGACGTTGCTATTTGTTGAGGGAATTAATACACTCCTACAGACGCTTTTTGGAACCCGGTTGCCAACAGTTATAGGAGGTTCTTATGCGTATATGGTCCCTATTATATCGATAATTCATGATTCCAAACTAGCAAGAATTGAGGATGATCATTTGGTAAGTTAGAAGATTTTTACTTGCCCCCATAGTTAAGTCCACATGAAACAGCATTGTCTAGGAGACAATGCTGGATTTAATAGGTAAACTTATAAAGCATCTTCAAGTGCTCACATGACTAGAACTGTCCGTATATTTCTAGAGATTCCTTAGTACGATGAGAGCAGTTCAGGGCGCTCTGATTGTAGCATCAAGCATCCAAATCATTCTTGGGTACAGTCAGATGTGGGCAATATGTTCCCGGTATAGATTTTATCCCACACATTATTTCCATCTACTAATGAAGTTGACAGAAGCATAATCTCTAATGTATGCAACTTACAATGCAGGTTCTTCAGCCCGCTAGGTATGGTACCTGTGATTGCGTTGGTGGGCTTTGGTCTGTTTGATCGAGGTTTCCCCGTGGTAGGATACTGCACTCTTCCTGACATTGATTATGAATTTGTGGATTCCTCCAACAGCGAATAATCACCCTTATTCATTAATCTTACACTCATGGTTCATCTTTCAGGTTGGAAGATGTGTTGAAATTGGCATCCCTATGCTTATTTTGTTTATAGCCTTCTCCCAGGTAATACACCTATATCAGCAATTAATTGATTTCGTTGAGGTATAATTCAGACAAATCCTACTCTATATGAAAAATAATGGAGATGGTTTAAACCATTTCCCATGATATTTAAAAATAATTCGAATAACATTTGTTTGTCAAAGAAGTATTTAACGTTAGTTATAGGATTCAATATGCATCACCCTTTTAAATTAAAAGTATGTGAGAGCAAATCTTCTTTTTGTTTATGAGAAAAAATCACATTATATATGGTATTGCAACGGGTTCATCTTCCTTCCTGCTCATCTTTTTCTTTCTTATGAACTTTGTTACAGTACTTAAAGAATTTTCATACAAGACAACTGCCTGTACTCGAACGGTTTGCCCTCCTTATATCAATCACTGTGATATGGGCGTACGCACACCTCTTGACGGCAAGCGGTGCATACAAACATCATCCAGAGTTAACTCAAATCAATTGCCGGACTGACAGGGCCAACCTGATATCCTCTGCTCCATGGTCAGTCACTTTTCCTCTCAGTTTAATTCACAACATAGGCTAAAGCATTTACTGTAACCAGCGCAGTCTTTGAGAGAGCAAAGAAATTGGCTTTACCCGATGTGCATTTAGACATTTAGAGGGGTTAAATATAATAGTTGCTGGTCGAAGAACACCAAGCACTGAAACAGGAAAACACCTTTCACAGTTATAATTTTCATACGAGTGATGCACCAATAGCGGATAGGTGTATACTCAAGCATGATGATGGGGGATCACTCGCATTTTGTTAGGATAAGCCAAATCTAATAGAAAGAAATCTTTTTACTAGCTGAAGTCCCAACAATGATGATGGGGGATCACTGGCATTTTGTTAGGATAAGCCAAATCTAGTAGAAAGAAATCTTATGACTAGCTGAAGTCCCAACTTGTGTGAGTGAAAAACACGGAACATCTGTTTGATATGAGAGTTGGTTGTTGTCAGGATAAAGATTCCATACCCTCTTCAGTGGGGTGCGCCTACATTTGATGCTGGACATGCTTTTGGGATGATGGCTGCCGTGCTGGTCTCATTAATTGAGGTACTAATCAGATAAAACGAAGATTTAGCACAATCCATTTCAATGTCACTAGTTCAATGGTGACCCTAAGAGGTTGTCTTTTTGACAGTCAACAGGAGCATACAAGGCTGCATCTCGTCTGGCTAGTGCGACACCTCCTCCAGCTCATGTTCTTAGCCGCGGCATCGGATGGCAGGTCCAGCATGTTGCCTGGTTTTTTTACTTCATTTAGACCAGAAGAAATTATTAACACACGCACACACCAACACACCTAGTTTTGCTGCCCGATAAAAGCAGTGTTCGAGTAAACTCGTCAAATGGTTGGCTCATCAGAATTATAATTAGCAGAAAATCGGCTAATTTCGAAGAACTAACGTGAGGTTTCTTCGCGCACAGGGAATTGGCATATTGCTGGATGGAATGTTTGGGACATTGACGGGCTCGACAGTCTCAGTGTAAGTGGTATTTTAACCTGATATCAAGTTTCCTTCATTTTCACCCTTTTCTCAATACTATGCTTGTTCTTGATGTCACAGAGAAAATGTAGGTCTTCTTGGAAGCACTCGAGTCGGAAGCCGTAGGGTCATTCAGATTTCTGCAGGCTTTATGATTTTCTTCTCGATACTTGGTGAGTCATAGAGCATTAATGTTAGAAAGTCTAACCTAAAAACTTAAGTTGATAGGTGGAGAAGACTACATGATTATAAAGAGCATTTAGGACCCGTTGTCAATTGATGTGGGATAATACTTCAACTATTAACTTATTGTGACTTCTTCATTTCGTCTCCCTTCTCTGACATACTTTCTTTCTATTGAAGGAAAATTTGGAGCACTGTTTGCTTCAATACCATTTACGATCTTCGCCGCTGTGTACTGCGTTCTGTTTGGTCTTGTTGGTAAGTGCAACCACAGTGATAATCCACCCAACCGTTTACATCTAATATCCTAGTATCTTGAGTTTAGCATCTGATTATTATTTAACAGTTGCATTTGCCTTCTTCCAGCTTCTGTGGGGCTGTCATTTTTGCAGTTCACAAACATGAACTCAATGAGGAATCTCTTCATTGTGGGCGTATCTCTTTTCTTGGGCTTGTCTGTTCCCGAGTACTTCAGAGAATACACATCCAAGGCCCTCCATGGTCCTGCTCATACCAAGGCAATATGGGTAAGAGCTCATCGTCTGGACCTTTAGTATGACCCTTTTGATGGCACAAGCAATTGTAGATAATTCTCATAAAAAGTACTGTTCTTTGTTGTCTGTATAACTTGGCAGCAAGTAGACTTACCTTAAGCCTTCTCTCTCTATCTCTCTCTGCAGTTCAATGATTTCTTGAACACCATCTTCTTCTCGTCACCGACGGTCGCGCTGATCGTGGCCGTGTTCTTAGACAACACTCTAGAGTACAAGGACAGTGCCAAAGATCGGGGAATGCCGTGGTGGGCCAAGTTCCGGACGTTCAAAGGAGACAGCCGGAACGAGGAGTTCTACACTCTTCCCTTCAACCTCAACCGTTTCTTCCCGCCGTCGTGAAGTAATACAGTCTGTGATTGCCGATGAATTTGTATGAGGAAAAGCATCATTTCCAGAGGGTAGTGTGAGAGCTGTGTGTGGTTAATCTAGTTAAAGGTGTGATGGAATGGAACAGAGTTCAATGTGAAACCTTGGTCACCCCTGTCATTGAACTTACTATATATGTGTTTAACCCAACTATTATATATGGGTTTAATGCAATAAATTTGTTTATTTTTTCCCTCCTTTTTCTGCTGTCTCAATTCTTGGCAAACAACGAGAAAGAGGTGCATTGAAATGAAGTGATTATTCGGATAATCCAGGGATCCGATTGAAAAGATAGACCCTCAATTTGTCAATGGTCTTACATAAATTTAGTCTATGTACATCATTTTATCTAAACCTTCTGAGTGATTAGCTTCCCAAAAATAGCTAAAATCATTACCAATATATATGTTTTGAATCGACAGAAATGATTGGCTAAACACGTACAAATATATCTTTTCTCAAATATATTGTCTCACCTCTCGTGGTTCGTGAATTTAACATGACTATTCTCTAGGGTTTCCATTTATTATTCCGTGTATATATAGCTTAAAACGAGAGATTTACCGAAATAATGAAGATGTGACTTTGGAGAGGTTATCCAAAGTTTGAATTGACCCCCACTTTACTCGGACTTTCCAAATAATCACGAGTTGGAGAAATGATCGAGTGGGGTTGTTGATCCATCCCGATTGTTCTAATCGAAAGCGATAAGTCGAACGCACATTTAAGATATTTCACGATGAACCGTTCCATTCAAAGATATTCGCAACTTGATTTAAGTTTTTCCCTTTATTTGAGAGATCTATCGAAATAATGAAGATGTGACATTGGACAGTTTATGTATCCAAAGTTTGAATTGACTTCCACTTTACTTAGGACTTTCCAAATAATCACGAGTTGGAAAAATTGATCAGGTGAGGTTGTTGATCCATCATAATTGTTCTAATCGTGAGGTTGTTGATCCATCACAATTGTTCTAATCGAAAGCGATAAGTCGAACGCGTATTTAAGATATTTCACGATGAGCTGTTCCATTCAAAGATATTCGCAACTTGATTCAATTTTTTTTCCCTTTGTTCGTATATTTTTTCTGTCATTATTGAATGGGTCAAACTGAGTCAGTTGTACTTCCATATGGTACTAGTATATTTGCCGGCACGTTGCCAATGGAATCAAATTGTCATCGAAATATAATTTTTATTTTCTAAACCAAAATACGCAGGAACAAAAATCTACGATTTTTCGAAGTAGACCAAAGTGGACCGAATCTAGTGGCGAGACATCATCCACACCCATCTTTGCCCATGATGATTTAAAAAAAAATTATTTTTTTCTATAAAAAAAAAGTTTGACCCGGTCGGGTCAAAACGGGTCGGTCTCGAGAAGGGAATATCGGCCAACAAGGCTCCACTAGATCAAATATTGGTGTTGAAATCGCCACTTTAAAAGTTTCAATTGACCAAAGACACTTAGGGTTTTCAAAACATCAAATGCATGGTTTTTTTTTATAAGATTAATATTAACTATAGTGATGATTTAAAAAGATGACATAGCAAACCATTCTTTCGATCGGTCACCTAAACTTTTTTCGACTTTTTGCTAGCTAATATTTTCCATTTTGATAAAATAAGAATATACAACTTACTACGAAGGTTTTATAGCCACCCAAGCAAATACACAAATTTTACTCCTAAAATAAGATGAATGATCTTAGTATTAAGGTGTATTTATTTCACGGAAAACTTAAGATTTGGCCCAAAAAATACTTGGTTATACCCTTCACAAAAATGAATGAACGAGAAAAATATTTTCATCATCCACGAAAATAATTAGGCATAATTGTTGTTAATAATGAAAAAATCTTTAATTGACTAGACTTGTTAAGCGATATAACTAATCATTTTCCGGAAAATATTTTCCAAATTGTGAGTTTTTTATGAAACGAACGCACCTTTTTTTTGTTGTACTCCCTATCGACAGGAAATCAAGGAAGTCCTGCAACGCCAGAGGACTTTTATAATTTGAGCCTGTATTTTATTAATATTTGGGCTTGAGCTCATGAATAGCTACTGAGTATATATATAATTTCTTTCTCTTGTAAATGAGGGATGTCACAGAGAAGTGGGAGGTGCTAAAAATAGTAGAATCCTCTGCTTGACGTAGCCTTAGTTTAAGGGTGAATCAGGATAAAATCTTATGTTTCGATTTCTCTTATTTGCCTCTACTCTCTATTCTTCGTTGTGTTTGTGCAATTAATCCTAACATTTTTTTGGTCGAAAAAAGAAACGCACCCTCACTTATAGATTAATGTAAAACTTTTGACTATAATCATTTTCATCCAGCACCTCCAAATAACCAAAGTTGGCAATCTTAATAGTCATAATCACTAAAATCAGAACTTCAAGAAAGCCCCACCCAACACCGGATGAAAATTAAAAGAAAAAAGGAATACTTCCAACCACTTTAATACGTAAATATTTCATACAGCACCACGTATCATCTTATAAATAATCGCAAATACCATTTAAATGGCGACATAAAAAAATTTACAATGACCAAAAAGCTAATAGGTATGTTCAGCACTTTTTTTTAGAATTTCACACGTTTAGGTAATTTTTTATTTACTTTGAGCAATTTGTTCACTCTTTTTTTGCAAGTTTTATGTTATAAATTTGTGCTCTTAGGGGGCGGTTTTTTTTTAATTAAAAAATTCAAGAAACTTATGGTTTAATCGATTATGGGAAAAAGCGAGACTACAAAACCCTTTTTCAAAAAAAAAAACTAGGAAAATTTAGAAGCTAGTACATCAAATTCAATTTCATTTTAGTGAATTTCTTTTGGACTTTTACCAATTCATTGAGTCGATTTCGTTAAGGTACCCGTTAGTACCGAAAATTAACTAAAATATTAACTGCATCGTAGTTAGAATTTCGTTCCCCCTCATTTAAAATCCCTACTTCACCATGGCTCACTCTCCTTTTATTTATTTCAAACTTTAGCACACAAAGTATAATTGACACCTAATTAATTATGGGAGTGGATGAACAACGTGGAGATAACGACTTTGATGCCCCTAGTCTTTTCTCTAATCATAAGTTAATTGCTTTTTTGGAAGTGTCCAACACGTATTTTTTCTCTCTGGAGGACGACATTGGTTAACTCCCTCAAACACAGGGACCACATTTTAGATAAATAAATAAACATAAGGACCACATTGATGACGTCATAGATTCACGTGACATCACGGGTTTTTTTTATTGATTTTTGGGAAGATAGACCAAACAGTCTCTCAACTTTAATCTATTTGGACTTTTTAATTTTTTCAATGTGGTCCCTAAACTATATATAAATATTCAATCTAGTCTTTATACTTTCGATTTGTTCGATCTAATTCCTCAACTTTTCATCACAAAGTCAAATCAATCCTTCGATACTCTTCACAAGTTTTTACGATTACATTATTGCCCTGATCTTTTTATTCCATTTTACCTTTTTGGTCTTTAGGAGCATTACTATAGTTCCATTTAATATTATTTTAACTTGTGATCTATACAATAGTTAAAAAAAATATCATTTAGAGTCGTATCGAATTCATTTTCCTTTTATTTTTAAAATAAGTTTTCTCATAAGAATATTTAATGACAACGTCAATTTTTCTATAGATTTCTCGTATTTATATTAATCTAAATCTTATTCCTAATTTTTTAGATTGATACGATGATCACTTTTTTGTGTTTCGTATTTTCTTCATTAAATTTAGTTATATTTGTAAATTAGCAAATCAAAGTAGCACGATTATTAACCCGATACAACTCTAATGAGGTTCTATTTTTACTATTATTGAGATCATAAGCTAAAATATGTGTAAATTGAACTCTCCTAATATTCATAAAGACCAAAAAAAGATAAAAAGTAATAAAAAGATAGCCATATTTTTCATCGATGTCGAAAATAGATTGAAATGAAATGATATTCTAAAATTTGGACAATAATATGATTATGAAAATTTTTCACCTTTTTATGAAAAGTTGAGGAGCAAAATTGTACAAATTGACATTTTAAGGATTGAATCGAACATTTAGGAGTAGTTAAAGGATCAATTGATAAAATTGAAAGTTCTAAGACGATATTGCACATTAGGTCAAAGTTTAGGAACTATTTATGTAATTTAGTATTCAACGTTTAGTCCGATCGAAGTTGGTAAATTCATTATTCGTGTGATATCTCCATTCTTCTTCATATTTTACATTTACACGATTTTAAATAATGAGGCATGGAATGTAATGACCTCTTTATCCATCATCTTGGGCCAATTCCAATCCATATCTGTCCTTGCAAAGATATTATGAAGAGCTAAAAAAATCTTCAATAGCTACCAATTAATTTCTAATTACAGACTTTGCACATGAATAGTCCCAATAGCACATGCACAATTTTGTTTTTTTTTTTTTTGAGACATGTTGTTGGCAAGCTCATTTTGTCTTTTGTCTTTCGTAAGTGGAGGGGTTAACGTGGACAAGTTGGCGACACACAATTTTACTCTCTCTCCCTCTCTCTCTAATTCATGACCGGGAAAATGACACAAATGGTCCGTAAACTTTTTACTTAATATGCAATGTGGTTTTTGAATTTTTAATTTGTTCAATATGATTCCTGAACTTTTGGTACATGTCCAATTTAGTCTCTAAGTTATATGAAAATATTTGATGTTGTCTATGAATTTGAATAAATGGAATGATAACATTTGGATATTTTCATGTAATCTAGGGATTAAATTGAACATTTACACAAAAAAAATTTAGGGACAACATTGAAAAAATTAAAAATTCAGTGATAACATTACACGTTATGCCAAAATTCATGGACCATCTGTGTGTAATTATCTCTTCATGACCTCATGTTAAAGTATCTCACATCACATCTCTACAGAATTTAATATAGACGTAATCTTCATTCATCTATTAATTTAAGTTTCTGGATCGGACATTCTTACATGGTATCAAAATTATATTTCGGCCCCGTTCATTTCGCATGCGGTGATCCTCTGTTCGTCACATTTCACTTATCATTTCTAATTCGACTTGCACATGCAATTGCGTGTTAAAGTGGCAAAGCTGATTTGTCCTTTTGTCTTTCATAAATGGAGTGGTTAACGTGTACAAGGGGGTGGGGCGTGACTCCCTTTTAATCCCATGTCTCTCTCTCTCTCTCTCTCTCTCTCTCTCTCTCTCTCTAATTTATGGACCTCACAAGTGGAATGGGAGGCCAGATATCAGTGGGGCATGGACTTGCTTGATTCACATAGGATTCGTGTCCAAAATTCGACAGGACTTAGGTCATTTGAATATTCGTGGCCTCCCGTGACAGAAATTGGCTCTCGCTATCCTCGTCCGGCCGCCATCCAAAAGCGACCTTTCAATCGACAGCACTCTAGAATCATGTCGTATCAATGTCGTCGCGAGATAATATCAATCCCAGTTCATCGGCAAGACAAAAGATCTTTATTTTCCTTAGAGAAATGCAATTAGATTCCCCCCCCCCTCTGTTTCGAAGAATAAAAAGAGGCAAGTTAAAGGCGAGTCCGTATCACTTATAACAATCCATGAATACAAAATATTTTTCGTCCTCCGCACAAATGATGAAGCATAAGACGGTCGTTCGATAACGAAAACATTTTTTATTGGATAATTATTTCGAGCGGCATGAGCGATTATTTTCGGAAAAATATTTTCCAAATCGATCAATCTTCGCGAACCAAACGGATCCTAAAATAAACAACACGGAATTGCTGGGAAACCAATGATAAAATATCATAGGCACAACTTCCCCACTTAAAATGTGATGGCAGCCGTCTTGTGCGAAACCCGCTTTTCGCAGCCATCGTTTTTACTCCAATCCAATTCGTGCCCCAAATTCAGTAGCCGCCAGAGGATTACCAAAACCCCACTTTGGGACTCCTTCGGGTCTTGTCCTCAACGTGCGAGCGAGCCTGTTCTGGCGTGCTGGCAGTTCTCTCGATGTTCGCAGCAGTTTGATCCTAGTGATTGTCATTATCTGAGGAGCTTAAATTGCTAAGCAGATGCCTCGAGTTTGAGCCCGTGGTGAAAACCCGATTCGAGTCGGTTTACTTAGCTTCGGTGATTTCATAATTCGGGTGGGTTTTTCTAGTTCGAGTAGATTTTCTTGAAGGGTTGTGATTTTTATCCGAGTACGATACGCCGAAGCGAACAGAGACGAGTATTAGGGTATTTTTTTTTTCTCTCCGTGAGTTTTCCGGGTGAGTTCTTCGTAAGAGATTGTGAGACGACACTTGTGGGTTTCTGTAATTTAGAGTTAAGGAAACACTTGAGCAACCGAGCAATCGTAAACTTTATATTTTCCCAATCCTCAGCAGCTAGCCATTCTCGTGAAATAAGTGCCGACACTCTGATCAGACCACGTAAATCCTTAGCGTTCTTATCATTCCTCGTCGATTTCTCTTATAGCTTCTTCTTTTCGCGTCGGACTTGAACTGCGGCACAAACTTTATTGCCCGTAAATATTGCCACGTTGTGAAAGTATGGTCAAACATAGGGAAAAATCCTGGGTGACGACGATATTTGTGATTTAATAATCATCAAATTGAGCACTCTAAAAAGGAATGGTCAAAAAGCCAATCGATGTGACGTATTTAGGGATTCTTAAGAGCCCCTAATCACACGATCGGTCAAATAACTGGGCGCGAATCCCAATCCCATCCACCACATCATCTCATCACCAAAATTCACACTTCCCATCATCTCTTATCCCAAAGTCAGAAAACGTCATTCCCTGATCTGCAAAAGTCGTCTCCTACATGCTATATACAATATACAATATATAATATTATATTATGTATAGGTAAAATCTCCATTTGCTACAGATGAACAAGTTGATTAACGGTGATGATATAATTTATTTATTTAATTTTGTTGGGTTGCAAGAAATCTCCAAAGTCCAGCTATAGCCTGGTGTGCCGGCCACATTCAACGTGATTCAACTGTGCCTAATGAACATGACATGTTCAAATTGATTTGCCTACTAGCTAATGATCGACGTATAGTTTTATTAAATGAAGAAATTAAATAAATACCGTGAAAAATGACCACCGACAGTATTAATGACCGTAATTTACGAAGGCAATTCATAAACATAATTCGAGTTTTTTTTTTGGGACAAAAATAAGGTTGTTCTGGTGTCTTAGACCGCCGAACGAATGCCTGAATGACATATGATACGTTGTTAAGTCACGTGACTTCATTAATCACCGTGCTACCATCGCATCTCCGCAAAATCTGGTGATACATGGCGCGATGCTCGCTAGACCATCGTGCCATTCGATCCGTTACAGTAGACATCGGGTCGTGCTCGGCAATGAACGTTCGGTCGCCTTGAAGTTCAGATAGAACATGAATATAATAATCAAACAAAAATCGTGTAAGAAAGTGGTACAACAAGAGGCATGGCACGAAAATAACCAAAAAACGGGAAATTTGACCTTAAACGAGAAAGAAGCTTTCATGGAAGAGATAAAAACCAAACAGCAGCCATCATTTGACAGGCGCTGGATTTGGTTTCGAAGCCTGAAAAGATAGATTCTTTTGTCCTGTTTTGCGCCTTCCCCCCCCATAATTACGTGAATTTCAGTTGCCCTTCTCGCTCGCTCGCCACTCAAGAAAATCCAACGAGACCTCCTCCTCCTCCTTCCTATATTTCTGTGCTCTTTCTCCTCTGCTCTCCTTCACCTAATCCCACTGTGCGTCCTCTCCTTCCCGAGTGCGTGAGGTCAGAGCAAAAGGGTCTCCTCCCGTGAGAGCAGAGAGGGAGGGACTTGGTGCAGCTGTTGGATTGCAGCCCGACCCACATCTTGTTTTCCTTCAAATATTGTTTATTTATGTGTTTTCTTGGGAGACAGACCCGTTTCTTGACAGTTTGTGTGACGGGGGCCAATGCGGGCGAACGTGAGGGAGGAGTAAACGGTGGAGGTCAGTGACGGCTTGGGATTTCATTGACTTTCTCTCAACAAGAGAAAGATTCAATCTTTATCTCTCTCTCTCTCTCTCTTTCTGTGCTGCGTTAAATTGCTTCTTCTTCGATCCATTCCAAGAAACTGTTGTATAGGGAAAGAGTTTGTTGGTAGATATGGATATGGATCTGTGAGTGCATTCCAAATGTTGCTGGCTTCATTCGGTACCATGATGCTTATTTTCTTGATGGAAGACTGTTCATAGTTTCTGAGTCCATTGTTTGGTGGTATGTGTGGTGTGATGGATCAGATGAGACATGATCCAGAAACTGGTGGAAGCTTGAATCAAGCTGGTTCTGGTACAGGGGAGCATTCTGAGCATTCGGTTGATGAGCCTTACGATGTTGTGATTGATTTAGAGGATGGTCCCAGGGCAAGTGCACAAGCTGGGCAATCAGAGAGTCGAAGCAATGGTTTGGGGTCAAGTGGGGTTGCTGTTGAAGTGGCTGATAATGCTATTGGGGTTCATCAAGAGAGAAGTGATGGGTCATTTGGGCAAGTGGGTGATCAAGGGACAAGTAGATGCTCTGAGGAGGACGGTGTCAATCAAGAATCGGAAGCAAAGGGGTCCGGAGAATCGAAGTCCGAGACGGTACTGGAGGAGGATTTAAAGAAGAATGTCTCTGCAAAAGGGGATGATTCATATCTGATTGATATTCACGGTGGCTGTGGCGAAAACGGTGAAGGGGAGAGAGTTTGCAGGATTTGTCATCTGAGTTCTGAGCAATCGGTGGATGCTATTCCGGGGATGACCATGGACGATGGTATGACTTCTGCAATAACGAGTATGGAATTGATTCAGCTAGGATGTGGGTGCAAAGATGAGCTCGGGATTGCGCACGGTCACTGTGCCGAGGCATGGTTTAAACTGAGAGGGAATAGGTATTAGTTTAATTTTCGAGCTGCGTATGAAAATTTTCTATTTCTCATTGAGTCTTCTTCTGAAATGATACGTGTGTTGTTATGTCTGAGAGGGAAGGAGGTTTCAATTTAGCTTTTGGGGTCAACTAAAACCATCTTTCTTTGGTTGGCTTTTTCAGCTTGCAATTCGACCTACTGTGCTAGAAACAAGTTTCTGAAATCACTGAGGGTAACATTACGAGATTGGATGGTATTTTTGTTTGTTTTTCGATTAGAGCACTATAAAAAATAGATAGATCTTGCAACACGCATTGTACAATTGGAAAACAGGAGCTTAGCATGGTAAGTAGTTGATGATTTGGTATTGGTTGAGGTAGATTAGGTCGACTTTTGCGCCATGGTCTTATGAAATAGCTGTTATTACATTCTGTGAGACTAAAAAGGGTTATTTACCCAAATTACATGGTGCTAAATTGAGTAACATAGACATTCTTGTCCTTATATATTCGTATTGCACATCTACTGACCATACTGGCGATTAGAGCTTAGCATGGTAAGGAGTTGATGATTTGGTAGCAGTAAAGGTAGATAAGGTCGACTTTTGCGTCACTGTCTTATGAAATAGCTGTTATTACATTCTATGAGGCTTACAGGGGTATTCGCCCAAATCACATGGTCAATTGAGTAACATAAACGTTCTTATCCTTAGATATAAGTATTGCACATCTACTGACCATACTGGAGATAAGAGCTTAGCGTGGTAAGGAGTTGATGATTTGGTGGTAGTAGAGGTATATTAGGTTGACTTTTTTTTTTTTTGGTAAGGTAAGTATTGATATAACTTTTCAACGCAATTTACAAAGAGTAGCCGAACACAAAAACCCCGCACATGAAGAGACACGAGTGTGTCCCGACTGTGCAAGGGTGTACCGACTAGCCAACAGCAGCGACACAAGCGTTGCAAAACAAGGCCAAACAATAGCCCACAGAAATGAAAGGACAATAATCTAAACCACCGCAGAGGGTTATACAAAAATAGAAGGCGAGATGCCCCAATTAGGTTGACTTTGCGTCACCGTCTTTGAGATTGATGTTATTACATTTGTGAGACTAAAAGGGTGTATTTGCCCAAATAACATGGTCTAAATTGAGTAACAAAGACATTCTTATCCTTGGCTATTAGGTATTCTATAGCACATCTACTGACTATATTGTGTTAAGAGCTTATCATGGTAAGAAGTTGATGATTTAGTTGCAGTAATGTTAGATTAGGTTGACTCTTGCGTCACTGTCTTATGAAATAGCTGTTATTACATTCTATGAGGCTAAAGGGGGGCTATTTGCCCAGATTACATGGTACTGAATTGAGTAACATAGGCATTCTTATCCTTAGCTATAGTATACATCTACTGACCATACTGGTGACAGGAGATCAACCTACACCATCAATTATTTCTAGAGTCTGCTCATGAAGCCCCGGCAGCAAGTTTGTTGGCATCAGTGAAGACTCTCCAGGATCTGGTTCTTCTAACAAGAAAACAATACATTTGGCCACGATATTAAGAATATGGGCATGTTTTGTTATTAACTGGGATGGTCAATTGTCTCCTATTATTTTTGTTATCGTTTTATCCTTTGGGATTAGTTGAAGAATAGTAGGGGTAGGTAGGATTGTCAGGAATATGGATTTAGCATGTTAGGACAGATAACTACTTTTCTTTGACGATTCAGCTCATCAATCTATGGGGCTAATCATGTGGTTATGGGACCTTTTCCTTCAATGATCTGTTTGCTACTTTCAATGGCTACTGATATTTTTGTCAATTTTAGTTGTGGATGTGAGAATCTTAAAGAGATGCCCTAAATGATGTGGGAATCTAGTATTACAGGCTACTCTTTTAATTAGGCTTCCTATTGTAGCAGTTTGGTCATTGCAATTTCTCATGTTCGATATTCTCCGCGCTTAGACGTGCTAGCCAGTACTTATTGGCGAATCTTTGCTGTTTACGCCCTTTTATTTTGTTCATAGTTTTTTTTTTTTTCTAGTCATTGTTGAGATGGTACTAAATTGTGGCCTGTAAAAGTTGTATGTCCGAGAAATGAAACAGCTTATTGCTCTTCTTCTGGATTAGTACATTTTTATAGTAGTAGCTGCTGCTTGTTGGTTATGTCATTTATAATTTAGCCGCGCTTGGATAATCTTATTTCCTAATTTTAGAAGACCTGCACTTGCTTTAGAGATCTGTTGCTTTGTTCGTTTAACCAATTTTGTGGCTTCTTATATGCAAAGAAGATGTAGAAGAAGTGTTCGGTTGCATGTGTCCGAGAGATTCTGGATGAATTAATTGTGCAGTTCACATCTATTCATGTGTTCTTGTGATCAAGCTTACACATTTTATCTCATGGACTCGAACCGTCCTTTTGCTTTAATGTTCTTCGAAGCTCAACATATTGCTGGAACTTCGAGGCGTATGAAGGGCAAGTTGCTTTCAAGCTTATTGTTCTTCCTAAAACTTTTTCTTCACTGCAGGTTCTGTGAAATATGTGGCGAAACTGCTCAAAATATCTCCGGAGTCGGAGATGATAGGTTTATGGAGGAGTGGAACGAAAGAAGATCTACCGATATTAACTCGCCGGAAGGAGGAGGGTGTTGGCGGGGACAGCCGTTTTGTAACTTCTTGATGGCGTGTCTGGTAATAGCTTTCGTACTCCCGTGGTTCTTCCGTGTAAATATGTTCTAGAAGGTGGTGTGGGTGATGGTAGAGAGATTCTTTTTAAATTCTTGGATATCTATACTCGTCGTCGCCGCACGGTGCTGCTTCTGGGGGGGTCTTGGCACGAACCGTGCTATTGTTAGTCTCGGCAATTTCTCCCGAACATCGAAATCGCCGCATGCATGGATCGACTCCCTCGATCGAAACGATATGGTAGCGGCGATCCGGGTCAGTATACTCTCGAAATTTTCTTACATTTTACAAAGAGGAGCTCGACAGCGATGTCTTTGATTCGCAGAAAAAACTGGGGAAGTCGTTCCTTACAACTTGATATCTGTCTCCTCGTGGATTTGCCTTGTCGGGTGCTTTTTGTCTCTTCATACTTCGTCTGTACATATAACTGTGAGTTCTTTACAAGATCATCTACAGATTTTACTGCAAATTTTGGAGCGCAGCCCTTTTTCCCTCTCAAACCGCTTTGTCTGAATGTATATGTAAATGTCAGTCCTTCATCAATTGCAGTTGCTGCATTTTTTTGGACTTGCAATGGTGGTGCTCTGGACTTCAACCCACAAGCCCCCTATACATGAAAGCAAAGTACAGGACTCGCATCTTGGTTGAGCTTTTTGTTCATTTTCTGTAGCGAAGATCTCAGTCATTCACAGCACAAATTACTTTAGCAACGGCTATGTTTTCCTTTCAACGTCCCTCCAATCACATCTCCAATTGGTGGGTTATAAGCATGCGCATCGCCCATGTAAATTTTAATTGCGAAAAAACTGTAACTTTAGCAATTTCCCGTTTTTTTTTCTGTTATAGGAACAAATTACTCGAACTAAAAAGTATATTATCTAGGGATCCAATCACAAAAAAATGATTTAAGGACCTAATGTACATAAGCTCAGGGATCACTCGTGCTTTTATGCCGAATATATGCGTGCATGGACACGTAGATAGAATAAAATGAACCAAGAACATAATAGAAGTTATTCATAAAAGATAAAAGGGATAAGTGCAGTTGAAGTCCCTAAACTTGTCATGAAAGTGCAATTGATTCCCAAAAACCTTCAGTAAGTGCAATCAAGTCCTAAAATTTTACAAATCGGTACAATCAAATCCTTCCGTTAACTCTGTCCAATTTGACTAACGAAAAATGTTGACGTAGCTAAATTTTTCATTATTTTCTCTTTTCTTATGAGGTGTTAAGGTTAGTTAAAGCACTAAAACGACGTCGTTTTGATTAAAATCTCGATTTTTAAACTAAATTTTAGTTAAATTAGTTTAAAAAATAAAAAGCTTATTTAAAAGAAGAAGAAGAAAATATAGGGCAGAGGGTTTGAGCTAGCCGTCCCACCTGTGGCCACCGCCCTATCGCCGGTGGGGCGTCGACGATGGCCGGCGGGGTCGCCGGCACCTTTGGTGAGGGCCGGGCTAGATTCGAGAGAGGGCTGTGACATTCTCCTCGATCTGGGTGAGGGTCATCGACCCTCGCCGGTCATTGCTGACACCCCACCGTCGATCGGCGGCCACAAGCGGAGGAGGGCCTAGCCTGCATCCGTTGGTGTTTTTTTTTCTCCTTTTTGTGTTTTCAGTTTGTCTTTTTTTTTTTAAAAAAAAAACTTTCGGATTTTTTAACCTAATTTAATATTTTTTTTGGTTTGCAACCTAATTTAATTAAGATTTGGTATAAAAATTAGGATTCGGATAAAAACGATGTCATTTTTGGGCTTTAACTAACCTTATCGCCACGTAGGAAAGAGAAAATAAAAAAAAATCATGTCAAGCATTTTTCGTTAGTCAAATTGGAGAGTTAACGAAAGGATTTGACCACACCAATTTAACAAGTTTAATGAGTCGGTTGCACTTTTTGAAAGTTTTAAAACTTTTTCCATACTTTTACGATAAGTTTTAGGACCTCTACTGCACTTATTTCAAAATAAAAATATATCGAGCAACAAAATTGGATTCTAAACTCCGTTTGTAAAAATAGGGCGATCTCTCCTCCGCTTAAACGGCTCCTAATTGCACCAAATTAGGTTGGCAGCATTTGTTCATAGAAGTAAGGCGATCTCCTATGCTTTAATTTGCCTCCTAAATGGCCATACCATATTGCGGGTAAAGGGAATTGACCAATAACCTAAACAACCACCTTGAGCTTGAAGGGATGCAAGCAGATCATAAGATTATTGTGGGATTTTAATTCATTCATGAAATTTTTGTTGATTTATCCTAACCTTGTACATGGTCAACTTCTAGATTCATTATATTGTACATTTGATAGGAAATTTATAGTTTAGTTTGTGCCTATAAATAGGCCATGGATTGTAACATTGATGTTAAGCAATCTATAACCTGTTTGGATAGATTTTTCCTTTTTGTTTAATCTAAATTTCGTTGTGGACATACTTCGATTTATTTCAACCCTGTATACTTATAATTTTCGCTATATACAAATATTAACACATAGATTCATATATATATTTTCAATTGCGGTTGGATCGCAAAAAAAAAAAAACTTTTATTTAAATTTAATTCCAAACAAACACATCATTATCAAAATTTCTCATGCGACGAATTGAGCCGAGTCGATTTCGAGCACCGGTGATGAAAAAAATAGTAAAAAACACTTTTAAGTAGTTATAACTTACACCTCATCAAGTACCTCCGAGGTGGTTCGCCATATTGAATAATACTTACTCCTCCTGTAATTTCGAAACCCTATTAGCCATAAGTTCGAATCTGTCAATTACTCCTCGATCTCGGAAAAATCCCGATTTTCAGCGTAGGTTTGACCGATGCACCAGATGCAAAGATAGCTCCGGCTTTCTTCAAAACTCGCATCCGGTCCGGTCGTGCCGGCGGTGACAGGTTCGCTCAAAATGATTCGTCGTATTGATCGCCCATCCTCACCCATTTCCCGCCAATTAGAACATTATAAGCACGAGCGGGTCAAACCCGACGCAACCATCTCGGGTCGGGTCGGGTCATCGCGATGACCCGGTTCGTCCTCACCCACCCCAGCGGCCCACGCACCAACTCACAAAAACCCTAGCTTTCCGCCCTTCCTCACTTCCAGTTCCATCACCGCTCGCCAACTCCTGCTGCTCTACTGTTCTGCACCGCCATGGTCTCTCTCTCTCTCTCTCTGTGCTCTGTGTGCTCTGTGTGTGTTTGCGCTTTGTGGGTGTGTGCGTGTGTGTTGAGGTTGTGGTTGGTGGGACTAAAGCCATGGGGGAATTGCAGGCGTCGGAGAGGAAGCTGTCCAACCCCATGAGGGAGATCAAGGTCCAGAAGCTGGTCCTCAACATCTCCGTCGGCGAGAGTGGCGATCGCCTCACGCGCGCCTCCAAGGTTGTGATTGTGATCGCGCGTGTGTGTTACCTCGTTTTTCTTTGCCAGCCCAGCAAGGCTGACCTGTTGTTTTTCCCAGGTCTTGGAGCAGCTCAGCGGCCAAACTCCTGTCTTTTCCAAAGGTAGGAGCCTCTCTGCACACCCTTTGCTTCTGTGGAAAATGGGTTCTCGTTTTTATTTGTAAAGGTGTTCTCTTTTTTTTTTCACATGCTCCTGGGGGTTTTTCTGATGAAATCGATGGAAACTTAACTGCATAGGAAATTGAATTGTGGTCATACTAGGGGAATTTAAGATTCTGGAGAAAATTTTAGTCCACGGAGGCGGTCATGGAACTGCATACAAGATCGAGTCGCGGTCGATAAAGGAACATGAGTAGTTTTGTTGTTATTGATTGATTGATTGGTTTCGGCAGCGAGGTACACTGTGAGGTCGTTCGGGATCAGGCGTAATGAGAAGATTGCTTGCTATGTCACGGTGAGGGGAGAGAAGGCAATGCAGCTGCTCGAGAGTGGTTTGAAGGTGAAGGAGTATGAGCTCTTGAGGAGGAACTTCAGTGACACTGGCTGTTTTGGGTTCGGCATTCAGGAGCACATCGATCTTGGAATCAAGTAAGTTTGTGTGTGCTTATTCTGTTTCTCTGCACTTGTATAGTTTTGAACAAAGATTTCCTTTGTTGCTTAGTCTTGTGTGATAGGAAAAGTCGTGAACTTATTTTTCCTGTCATAAAGCGAAAACCTACATGTTGTAGTTGGTATTGATGTTATGGGCTTCTCTACATTCTAATACAACGTCTCAGATGTTTGGTTCTGAATGCTATATGTGGGTTCTAGGGTTGCTGTTGTACAAAGTCTATGGACTATTGTACAATCAGTGTTCCTCCATTTTGGACTGTACATATACTGCAATAAAGCCACCGCAAGTGCCATAACTTCGTACAGCCCTGTCATAAATTTTCAATCAATCACTTGAGTGTCACAACTTTGGAAAAACGGTCATTTTAGTCCTTAGCGCTTCGATTGATTGCTTGAGTGCCATAACTTTTAAACAATGTTTACCATGAGTGCAATGCCATGTCGAATTTCAATTGATGGCATTTGTGGTAAAACGGTTTTTAAAAGTTATGGCACTTAAGTAATCGATCAAAATTTTATGGCACCGAAGTGCTGTACAAAAGTTTTGACACTCGGCTGATCGAGTCATGACCAAAAAAAAAAAAGGTGATCGAGTGAAAAGTCATGGCACCAAAGTGAACGTCATACAAAAGTTATCATTTTTCCCCTGAAAACCGCGTCTTTACTTTATCTAAAAAGGGTTATTCTTTTTTTAGGTATGACCCTTCAACCGGTATTTATGGCATGGACTTCTATGTGGTCTTGGAGCGCCCTGGGTACCGTGTTGGTCGCAGGAGGAGATGCAAATCTCGTGTAGGAATTCAGCACAGGGTTACAAAAGAGGATGCAATGAAATGGTTCCAAGTTAAGTATGAAGGTGTGATCCTTAACAAGTCTCAAAACATCACAGGTTAGGGATACCGTACGTCGAAGGATTCGCCGAGTTTCTCTTTTTGACAGTTTCTTACCTGGTAATACTTTTGTATTGGAAGCTATATATCCTCTGTAGGGTTGTTTGAGATGGAGTATAAGAAGAAGTTCTGGTAATTTATTGTTTTTGACTGTTATGTAGACTACCTTTGGGTTTTTTCATATTCTTGGCAAACGGTGTGTGTCACATCTTGTTGTTGCTCTTTCATGCCACTTCTGCCCTGTGAAAGTATGTGTTAGTAATCCCTTCAGCTGAAGTGTCACCCTTAAACTAATTAACAAAATACCATGTTCCAAAGCTGTTTGGACTGCGGAGAATGTGTGGAATTTTTGAGAGGTAGAGTTTGATGGTATTTTCTGAAATAGAGATCTCTTATGACTTCTAAATCTGAATGGGAAGGTGGTGCTTCATTATATGTAAATATCCAACATTAAATGAAAACCATAATCGACTAAATTGAAAATAGCCATCAATTCATCATGGATAACAGAAGGCTTCGCTCTTACAGCTTGGAATTGTTCAAGTTTTACCTAGTGAGGTCCCTTAATTTACACATTATGGAATTGTGCGAGACGGTTGCATGTAATCTCGGGTGTACAAGAAGTAACAAAGGGGAGGCTCAATTACTTCCAGAGTCAAATACCGGATGGTCATTATCATCTCCTTCAATAATTTTAAGAGTGAGATTTGTTCTGTTACTGAAGAAAGGTGTTTGGTGCTTCAGGATCTCAGTAGCTCTACAAGTTCTTTCTTCTTTAGCCTTGAATAGCCCCTAACACCTCTAGATTTAGCCAACTCCTTGAGCTGTTGAAGTTTCATCTCTTCTATTTTCCGCGAAGTGGAGTCATTGCTCCCGGCTGCGGCTGGCGATGCCTCATTCCACTGTTCTTCCTTTCCCCTCGGTGCCGATGGAAATGGGATCGGAGACTTCTTGACAAAATTGGATGGTGGCCTTGTTAACTTGATGTCGGTAGCTAGTGACGTAATGTGTTCTACATCCTCTTCTTTCATCTCTTCTATTTTCCGCACAGTGGAGTCATTGCTCCCGGCTGTGGCTGGCGATGCCTCATTCCACTGTTCTTCCTTTCCCCTCAGTGCCGATGGAAATGGGATTGGAGTCTTCTTGACAAAATTGGATGGTGGCCTTGTTAACTTGATGTCGGTTGCTGGTGACGTAATGTGTTCTACATCCTCTTCTTTCTCAGGGAAGCGCTTTCTCCTTGGCTTTTGCTTGTTGTCTGCCCGAATCATCACAAATAAGTAAACAGAAGATGACTGGGGAGCTATTTTTGTTCCATTTCGAGCATGAAAGGCCAGGATTTCTCATTGTAATCAAGTGAGATCGTGAGAGAGACGAGCTGTAAATTTGCATTTCCGTTCTGGCATTGGACTAATGCTATACACACAAGGTCTGTAGATCAGTCACCGTAAGCATTACCTTTTGCTCGCTTCCTTGATCGACGAATGATCTCCAAGACTGACTGGGCCGCAGGTTTATTCTGGTTCGGGTCGGTTTCTTTCTTCTCATCACTCACCGACTCTGCCTTTGAGATTGAAGATTGTATCCGTCTGAACAGAGAAATTATCTCTTCCTGCTTGACAGAACTAACCTTTTTGTCGGAGGACGGGGATATCTTCGATACATCATCCTTTGCTCTTCCTGAAGCAGAAACTTTTCGAGGAGATTGGCTTCTTTTACTTCCATTAGGACTCGTCTCAGTATGCTCGTTTCTTGGCCTAATGATTGAAGCAAAATGTACATTCTCTGCCAAATTCAACAGGCTGCATCAAGAAATGGCCTCTCAGTTTCGAAGTTTTAATGCCCAGCACTAGAACTAGGATTAGAAACATGGCTTACAGTCCTTAATCAAAAGAGTGAATAGCTGGAGAAGCTTGCATTGTAACAGTTGTGAGAAAGAGATAATCAATAGCTTATTCAGTCCTAGTGATTAAGAACTCATTGAATTGCTGATTAACAGCGATTCCACGTTGTGATCCGTAATATCTTCCTTAATTATCAGCTCGTTACTCGAAGACATTCCTCTCGCTACGAAGCTATCGATGCACCAATTAAAAGAACTGAAATTGCGGGAAAACTGGAACTGGGAGTATTGGGATCAGAATACGCGAAGCTAAAACTTTTAGGACGAGTTTGGTCGAATTTGTTACCTTTAGGAGAACTAACAGCGGTTCTGACCTTGAGTTGTTGCTGCTTGATGGAAGCTATTGAAGCAGGAAACTGGACGATAACACCAGAATGCAGATTCAGCATCACTGAATCCATCACTGGTTTATGAAGTTGAGATTTTTCTTGATTCACTCTAACATGAACCTAGTATTCCTCGTCTGTTCTCAGCGGCGACACCTACTGTTTGTGGTTGCTGTTGCTTCTAATCGGACGGAACATATTGGGACCACATCTTTCAAATGTGTGCAAGGCTCTTCCAAGCTCCACCACATCTTTTCCCAAGTTTCTCTCTACCTTATATCTTGAAGCTCTAGATGTCAAGTCTCCAAGACATAGAAGGTCCAAGAGCATGATATATGGACAACTATGCCGTCGCTCCTTGTTAGAAGATACTCGAAATTAGGTCGTAGCGTGCCGTAAAATTAGTTGGTCTGGGGATCACCAATCTATCCGACAAGCGGTCCATTGCCCCCAAGTTCTCATGTGAGCGTTAATGTCGCCAAACCGGCTAGACGCGATTCAACTAGTCCACCCATTTACGAAGTTTGAAATGGGACTTTTACTTAATGCCAGACCACTAGAATCTTTAAATGCACGGAAATGTCACGTTTCTTTGATTATTTTATCACTCTCTTTATACATAAATGATAAAACTCGTGGCATGTTTGGGTTGCGATAAAACGAGTAGACAGGAAATCATATATTGTCCTTGTGTTGGTGTTATATTTTGTGTTGCTACCAAAGTGTTTTATTGCTGACATACAATTTTTTGGTTAAAAGAGTACGCCGGAACTTGTTAAGTCATGTCAATTTTGATTTTGTCAGCCTTATGTGTTCCTCAATTTCTTCGACTCATATTGTATTTGTATTTTCATGTTGTGTTAAGAATGAATGCCTTTCTATAAAATAAAAATTGTCAATTTCTTCTCTACATAAGGTGGTCCAAATCCCATTCCGATTAAAAAAAAAAAGTGGTCCAAATCGTTAAATGTTTAACATGAATTAACCGAAAATGAGCCAATTAGTGTATTTAGAGTTACGTGGGGGGCAAAAATCAACATTGACTTATATTCCTAATATCATTTAATATATGACTGGTGGAGAAAATTTGTTACTCCCCTTGAATTAATCAAACGATGGAATGTAAAACCAACAAAAGTAAATTTGAGTTTGAGATATTGTTAAAATAGAGAGTAAAAAAATAGATTTTGATTCCGTGCATCACACATTCTATCACTGATCGTTCAAGTAATACAGGGAAAACTCTTTCTTCCTTGTACCATTTTACAAGCACACAGAGACAGGAATTTGTGAGATAGTGTGAAGAAATGTAACAATCATTCCAACAATCACCCTTTCTTTAGCAAAATTTCCAACAACATAAACTTGGTATGTCCCAATCTTCAGATGCGCAAAACCGCGAAAACAGGTTGTGATCCTGATAAACACTGGCCAACACTCACTCAACAATCTATAGAAATGCAGCTCTGGGTGAGGTTAGCGTCGGTTTTGCTGACGAACGGATCGATCTTTACCCAGACGAGAGAGAAGACGGAAGCCAGAAGCACCGACCAGAGAACCACAATGGTCGGAGTCCTGTTCTGCCTACCCATGAGACCTTTCAGGAATGGATAAAGATGAAGAATCACCCAGAATGCAAAGAACACCTTGCCGAAGAGCGGTCCCCATGCCTCATAACCTTTGTTTAGCGCGTCAGAGAACCCGGCAACGACACCCACCATGTTAACGATGAGAAGAGTGGTCGGGGGTATCAGCAGCGTTGTCCACTTTATGATGTAGAGCTCACCAAACTCCGCGTCCTCGGCTGCTTTGGCAGTGACGGTGAAGTTGGTGTCTAGGCCAGCTAACATCTTCAGGAATCCTTGGAAGACGGCAAAGAGATGGGCCGAGACACCTCCGATCACCCAGAACTGCTCGTTACGCCACCAGTCCTCAATGCTCACACCACTCCATCGCAGCTCGAGCACACTTGTGACGATGATGGAGAGGAAAAGACCAAGAAATAGCATGCTTGCCAAGTTGGAAAGCTGAAAAAGAAAAGAGTAGAAAATAATAATATTCTCCCAATCAGGTCCCAGAATTGTGAGGTCATTGGATACACGTAATGTATCAATCAACTTCTGCTATGCTTGTTGATCTTAATATGCTAGAAGATGCAGGTGAGACAATGACCACAGAAAAGAGTGAAAGATACTTGCAATGAATCGACGTGGTCGTATCTCCTTTTGTTTAGTTCATGGCTATATATCAAGCACAGATTCCATGTACTTCTCAAATTCTTGGGAATGTGTTCAAGACCCTTGTTACATAAACCATATCTTAAGCAAGTCTTTTAAGAGGTTGAGCGAGTTAAATTACCGTTGGAATGATGAACTTTCCAGTAAGGAGGCAGATCGCAGGAATTGAGCAATAGGCGACGAGAGGGAGGGATGTGAATGGATAAACGATGGTGTTTATGTACGCCAATCTTTGAAGCCACTTGAGTCGGCCTCCGCCAAATCCATACCATAGCGGACAATGTCTACTCAAGAATATTTCCACGGAACCCAGAGCCCATCGTAGAACTTGGTGCAATCTGTCCGACAAATTAATGGGCGCTGATCCCTTGAATGCAGGCCTTAAGGGCATGCAATAGATTGACCTCCATCCTCTGCACTGCATCTTGAACCCTGTTAAGATATCCTCAGTAACCGAGCCGTATATCCAACCGATCTGAAAAAAGAATAATTGAGTCAATATCAATAGCGAGAACTAAAATGGTCGGTATAAGCATATAAGATACAGAGAATTAAGAAAGTTAGCAATTTGAACGATGCAAGATGATTGAGAATATGTTCCTCTAACAAAGAATTGAGAAGTAGCCAAATTAGCTAGTGCTGCATGGAAGAAATAAGCAGCATGACGCAAAACGAGGAGAGAGATTGACATGATATGCCATGTGAGTACCTCTTTGCCCCATGCGGTCTTCTCTTCGTAGCCACAGCTAATGACATGAATGGCTTCTTTGATCAGCATAGACGGATTGACAGATTCAGGAACTCCTCCATTTTCCATCAGTGTTGACTCGATAAACACGGAGGACAAGCCAAAGGTTTTCTCAAAGCTCATCTGAGAGATCAGCATTGATCTCTCATGCTCGTCATAATCTGTCAGAGAAGGCCAATTAGCATTAACAAGCAAAAACCAACTTGATTTTCACAGACAGTTGCATTTATATTCTCGACTTACTGTCAATCTCTCCAAGGTTGAAGATGGCGGCATTCAGGTCTTCCCTTTTTGAGTCTCGGTAAACTTCTGAGAGATCTTCAGTGGGCTTCTTTGGAGGGCAGCAACAAGAGCAGCAGCCGCACCACGAGCATGATGAGGAGGGCTTTGGTAAAGTCGGCATAAAAGGGGGGCTGTATCCATAGAGTGCTTGCCTATTGAAAACACATCCTGTCCCGACATAAACTGGTCCTTGGATTCCATCCAGCCCTTTCATGTTGACCTGACAAAAATACAGAAAAGTTGTGATCGGACCATGGCATGGAATTCATGTTATGCCATAGAAACTAAGCTCCAAAGTTTTTTGACACCCAAACTAAGTTGACTAAACTTTGTTATATGTACACGTACACGTGTCATGAACTCGAAACTCAACTCCTAAATGTGTAGAAGCAATGTCGGTCTGAGTCCTATCTTAGAATGAAGCATCCACTATGATTAAAAATAAAGCTTAAGTGAATAATCATTTTCCCAAATTTTGACTCCTAAACTGTAGTATTTTTCCAAGACATGTGACATGATACTATACAAGAATGAGGTTTCTAAATAGCTCACTAATGGATAGTTAGGTTTAGTAAATCAGATACAAGCAAATGCATATTGGCATCATATAAGAATTGGCTAATTAAATCAATTAGAAAAGTAGTAACATTTAGAACTCACATCGAAGAAAACGATATTTCGGTTGGCATATCGATCACTGCGATCAATACCATCAAATCTCTGAGGGAACTGCACATAGCACACATCCCTACCAACTTGAGGATCCATCAGGAAGCACATTGCTTCACGAACAGCATTACTATTGTTAACGTAATGATCACAGTCAAGGTTGAGGATGTAGGGAGCGTTTGTCAAAACTGCAGATACTCTCACCTGTTTATTCATGATTTTCAGCATAAGTAATGGAAAAGGTATTTGAAAAGCAGAGTGTAATCAGCAGAAAAATTGCTATACCAGAGCATTTTCCGCTCCGGCCTTTTTATGATGTTGGAAACCGGGTCTCTTCTCTCTGGAAACATACACCAGCCGAGGAAGTTCATTTCCCTCGATGTCATGGGCTCCACTATTTCCGAGGAAAACCTTGAATGGGTAAAACAGCTAAGTCTCAGAATAACTATTTTTAACACCGTACTGCAAGTTATGAAAGAATTTGACAAAAGAACGATGAAGTCTCTTTTTAGACAGTTATTTACGTGGATCATTTGCTTAAACAAGAAATCTACCGTGGCAAGAGAATGATGAAGTTTTTTTTGTTGACTTCTTGTCTTGAAATTGTTCAAGACAAAATAAAGAGGAGACAAAATTTGGAAATAGGCTGCTTCACCTGAATCATTCCAGGGTGGTCACGAGAGTTATTTCCAGGCCAAGGTGTCCCATCCTGCATAGTCCAACCTTCCTCCGGCGCTTTCTGTGCTTTTGCTACCAAAGCATTAACTCGAACTTTATACTCCTCATAGTCTCTCTGTTGCCACATATCAAATACCAAATAAAAATAAGAGTTAATCAAATAAGATTAACAGTTACACTATGTTCATTACTGTTCATAGATTTTGAGCTTCGAATTGACCCCATCAAACTATCAAAAGCAGGAACAAGGTAAAACTTACTTTCATTGCTCTACGTTCCTTCACAAAAGAAGGCTGAATTTTATCCTTCAAGTAGTCAATCTTCTGAGAGAAGTAGAACTCAGGCGCACGGGGCTCGATTGAAAACTTTTTGCAGAAAGGTACCCACTTTCTTGCAAAGTCGGCCGTTTCAACAAGAGACTCAAATGTGAGCATCGCAGCGCCATCATCAGAAACATAACAAGAGACTTTGTCAACAGGATAGTCCACAGCAAGGATGGAAAGCACTGTATTGGCTGTGATCAAAGGTGGTTCTTTCAGTGGATCGACTGTACTCACGAAGAAGTCAACAGCAGCAAGCTCCGAAGGTTCACCTTC